TTAAAGGTTACATATTCCATCTACACTATTTATAACCATTACAGTGATTCATCGCAACGACGGATTGGTAATATTTGATGAAATATGAATTAAATTTAAGCATGAAACTCGGAACGATAGCACTCAAACTTTTCTTGGTCGTGGAGAACGCTAGTCTTCAGCACTGTTCTAACATAGAATCTATTACATGGCATTATTATATAAGTATATTTAAAATGATTTTAAAGATGCATTATTTTAATCAAGAAGAAAAAGAGATGATTCTGAAACAAAGAAAATCCGAGCGAGGTGTATTCTCTTTGGATGCCGTTTAAAATAAACCGATGACGCGCTACTGCAACAAAAGGTATGGTTTCCTCACAAAGCACACACGAATACAAAAAACGAATATAACAAAGAGAGAGATTTTCCAGCGATTATATATCACATATAATATGCAACGATAAACAATTAAGTAAGACATGAAATATTATAAAGCAAAGACAAACGATATCAAGAATTACAAAAGTTTGGGCATTATCGGAACGTTGGGCACAACACACAAACTCACCTTTAAGCATAATATCCCATCCCGAACTTCATTTTAAAGACAACGTCAAGTACGCAGTAATCGATCGATGTGGATGGATAAAATTAAATATATGATAATATATCTAGCATCGTTAGTAACCCTAAACGCCATCATCAATCGCACTTTACATACTAAATGAAGTTACCTTGTAAGTAAGGTATGGTCGTTACCGTTTTTAGATATCCTGCTATAATTTGGGCACAAGTTATATACGAATATTAAGCATATGCTCTCACTTCACAACTCCGAGAACTTATTAAAATAGCACATCCAACAACTTAAACTTTGCAAACCACAAACTAAGCTCCCTAAAAACAAAACCACAGCCTATAGATAGATAGAATATCTTTATAAACAAATGATGATAATAATATTGGCGAAGAAACGCAAGAGATAATGAGCGTTTTCTTAGGCGCTCTTGATGAAGTAAATTTATGCCAAAAGCGACAGAAGGCAAAGTTTTGAAAAATATTATAACGCATTAGCAAGCAAGGTCTTCCTGGGGCTTGGATCGAGCACAATCATCACAGAACTTTCCCAACGGTCCGATTGTGCTGTCAGGTCGAAGCTAGACAATTGTTTTAGGGACTCTGTGATACCCGAAATAAAAGCGAGCAAAATGGGAGATTGAAAAACTATTAACGCCCCTAAGTAGATTTTCTAAGTCACGCATAAGTTAAAAAATTCAGTACGAAGCAGAAAATCTATAGATGAAGCCGCAGAAGATAAAACTAGCGTATATCCAATATTCTTACCCCTCCCCCTTCCGTTTGTCATGGAAAATAACACCAATATAATAGGCCATCCAACAGTAGTAATGGCAAGAAACTTGGAACCGGTTTTTAACCATATTAAAAAATTAAACAGTGGTTCTAACAAGGCTAGAACAGCGTTATTGGACTAACTTAGCTACCAGTCAGTCACCGTTAATTTCAAAAAAGCAGACGGATTAGACCGAGTGATCCACCCGTTTGTCTCTTAACAAAGGAGACATAAACACGCCTAAAGCTACAACCGTCCCAGAAGTGCAGAGGGTCAGGGTGGCATAACGTCTGCTATCGTCTGTCATGCTCGCATAGATTCTATATTTCTGCCCGACATACGCAGGAAATTTTCTTCCAATGGTCAGGTAAACCACGCGATCAAGTCCTAGTTTTTGAAGAATCTCTCAAAGACTAAATGAAATACTAAAATACATTCACACCGCGGCCCATGAGCAGAAATCTCAAATGCTTAAAGCGAAAGCCCGTTATATTTTCTGCAAAGAAGTCACAGACGAATTCAAAAGCCACTCATTTATTCGCGTTATTCTTCCAACGAGACTTTCATTGGACAGGAGCACGTTCTCTCATGCTCACGTTCTACGCTTCTTGGAATTTAGCCTCTTTATTTCTTATTTGCTCAACTCGTCGGCCGGCAGGAACGCAGACGACTTTTTATTCTAAAGGCAAGAGTGATGCTCAGTGTCTTTCAATCAATCAGCAGACATGCTAGCGTAATAAACAGCTTAAAATTTTGGTTCGCCCAACAACAGTTTCAGCTCCCGATGCGAGCAAGACATAGGCCATCATATACGGCGCGCACTCACACCTGATCAATCTTAAAACACCGCAGAATACGACCAACCTCAGGCGAACGCTATGTCCCCATTCAGTAACTAATACCAATGTACGCGCAGCGATCCCCTGAAGCCCAGCTTCGAATGTGGCTTCCACAAGGATAAGCAGTACATTAGCACGTGCATGCAATTTGTATATTTTAGCGGCAAACCCCTGCCCAGACGGTTAGTCTCTTATGTATAGTACAAGGTGAAGACATCATAAGATGTCCAACAGATTGACTCCGGAACTCGGTGGCTGCTTTAGTACAGCGAATAGTCCCCAAAAAAGTTTTTATGCCTTCGAGGGCGACATCGGCATCTCTCGAAGACTAGAAGTCCTCTTACTTGAGTTGATTTTTAAGGTTCCACACCCTTGCAGATCCTCCATAAACTCACACAAACCAATCTTCCGGTGAATGGATTGCAAGATTACTCTTGGAGCCAACTTGCCGCTGAGGCAATGAACTCTATCTTCGCAGTTCTTGTTGTTTAAACAACAAAACGCACAATCGACCGGAACGTCTAACATCGGACTCCCTCGCTCCACCACTTTCTTCATCAACCCCGTCGCTCGTCGAAAACTATTTTGGTCCTGCTGTAAGTTCAACGGTAAGTACGAGTCCTGACGTATTTGGCAGCGCGCCTCTAAAACAGCTTGCGGGCGCAAAGCGTCCGTCTCGAAGCTAAATGTTCAATACGGCCGTTGATGTTGCTTCATAATATTCGAAAATGCTGCTTCATCATATTCCAATTGTCGGTTCTTATTATAACGGTGTAAAGGTTGTGATTTTGATGTCAATGACAAAAAACGCTCTGGAGGACTAAAACGTTCGAAGACAATAAATTGCTCATTGGATGCAAACACAGCCAAAACTCTCAAAGAACTTTTAAACAGCTTAGCAGTTGATGAATCAACTATTTCTACACGTTACCATGCGATGGGAAAGACGCCAAAAAAAGAGAAAATGGCTACCATACTAATTGACTGAATTGGCATTTCGAACAGTTTTAACATCGCGTTGTCATTGTCTTTCAGTCAAAAAAAAGAAGAAATAAATAAAAGCGCAAAAAGGCGGGTTAGTCCAGGAGTACCATCTATATCGACGAAGCGGAATACTGACAGCAATAAAGTTTTCTTGTGCATATGGTGGGATGACTGAAACTATTACTGCAGATGTCTACCGACGTCAATTGAGCAAATTAGACAATGTATTACTGGAGAAAAGATCAGCATTAGCTGGTAACAGACGCAAGATCACGCTCTTGCGTGAGATCGCTTAACCGCGCGTTGAAAGTTGTCAAAGTTACACTGTTACAGCTCGAATGGGAAGTTCTGAAGCACCACTTATTCAGATCCACGTAGCGGTTTCGAAATAATGAAGAAGTGCGAAAAGGATCTTTTGGGTCGGTATCGCCATGTTCTCGAAAATATGGGAAACAATTGTAGAAAATGATGGAAAATATTTTGATTAATATATATTGCACCAATTTTTCCCGACAAATGACTTTTTCAAGCGTAAAAATGATCAAGCAATCACCTAATAGAATACAATAGCAATAGAATACAATTCGTAAGCACTATACTTGACTATAAATACTATATCAACGTTTTATTTTTCCTACTTTCAGCATTCTCCATTAATTTCTATCACGATTACTGTAATTCTTATTACTAGCAACGTACTACGTCCAACACGCCCATTAGTGATCGTAAGTTTATTTGAAATCTGAAACTGCGGTTGAGTAAACATTTAAATTAAAAACTTTATGCAAGCTGTGAGTCGTAGGGATGGTAGGAAAAATCAGTAAACCGCGAACGAGTTAAAGTCTATAATTATCAGGCTAAAGAAATACGTTCACTGCTAGGTATATTACTTTTCGTCCGCTAACGCATTTGTACACCAAGTTAAATTTTTGAAATTAAGATATTGAAGCCTAAAAACGGTACGATATTTACAACACTTTTTGAGACGTGTATCGGTAAAGATGCATATGATGTGACGATTACTTGTCAGCGAATATTTCAGTGTTCAAATAGCTCTTTGTTTCGTAATTTTAATACTTAAAAAATAAATAACAAATAAACAAATTTCGTTACATGGCACACCTTGTTGTTTGAATATTTATAATTACGAAATATATATTTTTGCTCAGAAACTAAACGGATATGTAATTATTTAAAATTACTAAATTAGTATCTCAAGTGTCGAAGATGATACGCACGGCATGGAAATGACATCTGGAGGATTCAGAGAGCTCTTTGACGCTATTAAAGTGAAATAGACAATTTTTTGCGTCGATATGTGACATTGAATAAAACATTTAACCACTACTACATGAATCAAGAAGACCATCAACTAAGTGGACATGGGCAGGTGACAGAAATAATAGACGACTAAAAGCTTAAATGTTAGTTGGCAAGATTATACGTATTTTGGAACGCGTAATGTCCCGTGCCCCAAGTCGATGAAAACGATGGTTAAATTATATGAATTAAGCTTCGAATTGCATTTTCATATATCGCACTCTCCAGATCTAGTACGTTGCGACTACTGCTTGTTGTGGACATCAAAAAGCTATTCCAGCGAACGATATGTAGCTCAAATGGAGAAGTAATTGCCAAGGCCTATTTTGCGAGCAAAGAAAAATCGATCGACAAAAAGAGCATCTACACGCCCTTACGTTGTTGTCGTTCCTGGGGGAAAACAACGTTATATTGAAAACAATATACATGAACTTCTCTTTGCAATGTATTTTATTTAGTTAAATAGGACACTTAATAAATATAAGAATAGCGTGAGGATGTTTCTGAATTGTCTGTACACTTACCCAAATCTAAATCATCTTTCCGTGGTCTTTGACTAGCAGGGGTATTTCGATATATGGTATCCAAACATTTCTCCTTGACCTGGCCAATCGTATCACAATCTAAGACTTTAACAGGAACATTTTCGGTATGTGAGGGCAACATATCCATATTATTACAAAATATTTGTTGTTGTATGATACTAGCGCAAACCGTCATTGGTCTAAAGTCAATTAATTGTCGTATCAGTTTCTCCTCACTGAGAGAGTATCGAGCTTCGTGCGTGCATGCATCGACTGGTCCTTTGTCGACCTGTCCTTTTACAGCGCGAAACAACATGTAAAGCGGTTCGCCAGCACATTCTTTCAAAAACTTGTATAGCAAAAAGGTAAACCAAGCGCTAAGCATTTTCTCCGCGACACTTTCTGTGCGACGAAGCAGCAACTTTGGATGCGATTTTCCTTCAATGCATTTCTCGATCAGATCACCCAAAAGCGTTTTAAGTATATCGGTGCAATACTCCAGTTTAGACTGTAACGTAACCATTATCAACGACGCCACGTTAACTCGCTCACGCATAGAAAAATAACGGTTGGACTCTAGCGTTCTTATAAATAGTAATAAGAAGGTTTTATTCATAATAAGCTGTCCAAAGAGACGTAAACCTTTCTCTTTACGTAATAATTCTGGTCGCTCCCATTGTAGGACAATGTGATCTTCATGATTGGGAAATAAAATTTTCATGGCATAGGTGCGATAATCAAGAAAAGGTATTCCACCAGAAGTAAGATCTCCTGTTAAGTCCGTCATCTCTGTTTGTAGCTCTGCAAACGCCTCTTTACATTCCGCCGCTACCCGCAACTCTAGTATATCCATTTGTTCCTGCATATTGCGTAAAACACGATTCGACTCTGAAGTTTTCTTCTTGTAAGCAATAAGCAGGGCTACAAATATTAAAACGATGAGAATGATACCAGCAATGACGACAAAGAAAGCATTTTTGCCCAAATCATGCATAAGGTTGGGAGAAGTATAGCTAAGAACACCAATCCGATATTCCAAAGAACGACCAATACGTACGATGACTTCTGGGCCAGAGTCGTCACTGTTTCCATTGTCCTCATCATCTTCATCGAATGGTTCAGCCGGTGGCCTACAAGTTAATTGCTGACGAGAAAGCGACGTTATATTGCAGGTTCCCTTCTTGCCTATAAACACTAATACATCAGATTCCCGGCACGCACGATCTAAATTTCGACCATTAATCGTCAAATATTCACTCTTGTAATATTTCACTCGCTCTTCAAAATTATGGTAAATTGGATTTGGATAAAGTTCGAAGAAGTTTTTATGCCTCGATGAAAGATTCTGCACTTGTAGTACATTGTCCATAAAGAAACCATATTCAAGCATTTCCGGCTTCTCAGCATCCAAAAAATAATTATCTACATCAATCACTGGTGAATCACATACCATTTCAGTTCCTGTCAACACTGAACATTGGCTTACGAATGTTTTGTTTTTGAATATAATGTACATGTTAGGATTCTGAATATAGTTGAATTGAGTACCTACTACAGAGATTTGAATACCCCCGGCAGGTATGCCCTTCGGCACTTTCAATTGACCACTGGGACCCGAAGACACTTGTTCTACGGTTGGGTCTAATACGTACTTGTAATTATATTCATTAAACTCGCGTGGCCCATTGTCAAACATCATTTTTAAACGACCTTCTATTATGCCAGGAGATGGGGAGGTGCGACAAGTTGCCTGGTTAACGTCAACGCTCAAAATCTCACAAGGTAGATGTTCGTTGATGAAAGCTTGAATGCGGGAACCGGCATTAAGATATTTGCCGATAATACGTATCTGAGTACCTCCAGAAACTGGACCGTATTTCGGTGAGAAATTTGTTATTTTGGGATCAACAAACTCGTAATCTTCCTTTGATTCACCTCGATAATCCCCGATTTGAACGACAATACGGCCGCTACGATACATCTGCACGCCAGGACTATCGACAGTACACACAATTTGTTTGGTGTCTATATAATATTGTTGGAAAGGCATACAATTAATGCCAGCTATGCGTACACCCGAATAAATATCTGTGAAGTTTTTGCCTAAATTAATACCGAGTATTGTTATATTCGTTCCACCTTCCCATGGGCCCGTCTTGGGTGAAAAGGAATGTATTTGAGGATTTGGACAAGTTTCCATACGATTCAACCAATCCGTTTTGCCCTCATTATTTTTGTTGCACTGCTCCTCGACCTCACAAGTATTTGTCGATGAACACCAACCGCAGTTATACTTTTCGGGTAAAGCTAGACACATGCCACAGCTATCCGCCATATCACGGCATCGATAAATAACCACTGAAATTCAATTCAAAAATCAGATACGAGTTTTCACATTAAAAACTTATTGAAAGCTTGTTTGTAAAGAGGAAAGACGACATATTGTTAACGATACCTCATGGACATATGAAGGCGATCAAAAAATTTAGGACATTACGTTAAACATACGAATTATATAGAGCCCACAATAGGTATCTAATTTGTCTATTGTTGAAAAAAATTATGTGCGAAGTTACATTCAATATTTCTATATGCATTGCAAGTATATCAAATTTGAAAATTTTTCTAATGTAATGGGCGACTCTATAATCTGCATATATTTTAAATTAAAAGAAATACTTTCACGACGATTGCACAGTTATTATATGGAAATTATAAGATTATTGCACTGATTGGCTATAAACCAGACATTTCAACCTAAAACAGCGGTGAAGCCGTACTCGCAATTCCAGCACATCAGCACTAAGCTAAAAAAACATGCCTAATTCTATCATACTTTTTCTAAATGCATACAGCTAATGCACATGTAGGGGCGTATTTTTATCTGAAACAAACTTTTTAGGAATTTAATATTTGATATAAATCAACGAAAGGATGCACGAAAGGATGAAAGGATATCGAGAGAAGTCAATGACTGTTTCTGACGAAATTTTTGTAAAATGCACTCAGAAAACGAAAACGCAAATTAAATAAATGATATTCGATTACATAATCATTTCTAAATAGAAGAAGGCAGAAGTTACAAGGCGTTACAAGAAAAAATGCAAAGTAAATATATCGAAATAAAGTCCGTGTAATTATATTCTAAATTGTGGATAAGTAATTTCAAAACTTAAAAATAAAATAAGCTTAAAAAAATAAATGAAGTCATTTTGAAGTAATCCTAAAACTTTTTGCTAGTGGTTTATCTACTCACCATGTATATCATGCGGATTATCCAAAGGCTTCGAACCACCCCATATAACAGCAAATGTTGCAGTTAAATTTGGCGACCGGGAAGTGTACTGGAACTCCATGTTATCACAATAAATTGTGTCACCCAAAAGTTGGGCATTTAAACTAGTAACACGACCTTCGATATTGAACTGACATACAAAGCGTGTCTGAACAATAAACTGCCCAATAATATGAACTTTTACTTTTATTGATTTGCTCGTACCAGCTGCGACCAGAACTTCACTACCGTCGCCCGTAGCATTGATAGTGGGGCAAAACCCAGGTCCTGAACGGTAGCTGGGACCGATGCGACTTACACCCGTCACTAGAATGTCATTTCGGCAATTTTCGGCAGTATCATGTGTACAACGATGGGCTTCAACACACCAATCGCATGGAAATTCTGAGGACACGCAACGTGTGCACGACGAATGGGTACTGCAATCGAAAAAAGTAAAATCGGTAGACACTAAATCCGGACCATTACGTGTACGCACTGATAACTTTGCTGTGAAGTGGTGTTTGCCTTGTTCAATTTGGGGCAACATATCTGTGCGAGGCGTAGTGCAATTGACACCATTACGCTTTTTTGTGGCATTAGTAAAGAGAGCTTTCTCTTCTGTAGTAAAAGCACAAACTAAATTCTCTTTCAGCTGCGGCAAGTGATCTATGGTTAACTCCAACGTACGGGCAGTAGTGCGTTGTAATTGATGTGGCATAACGCTTGTAATGGTGGTACATTTACCCGTTTTATAACTAACCCAATATAAAGGGTCGTTAACTTCGTTCTGACAAGCCGATCGGGGACTGCATTTATTTTCTAAGGAACACCAGCCACAGTACGGATCTCGCGCTCCTAGGCATTCTCCGCACGTCTTGTAACCTAAGCAATCATATACTTTAACTTTGACGACTTGCGTGCGTGACATGAGGTAGACATGCAAATTTTGGTTGTCAAAATGCATGTCACGGTTAATTGGAGAGCCAATATTTATAGGTATATTTGCATATTCATTGGCAACTGTACTTGATTCGACAACTACCTTTTTCAAACAGCCAATGCCTGTTCCTACGAAAACAACCGTATAACCACTTGTGCTAGTAGCAGCTATTGATGTCAGATTATCTCTTAAAACAGCTACAGGTACAGCAGTAATAGGTTGATCTCCACCTAACGGTGAGTTGACATCCAACCCACAGAAATCCTCACCAATGGTTTGAAGTTTCTACAAGCATATACGTATATATTGTAGTATAGGGTATATTATAGTTTACCCACTACATCATTGTCAGTTAGGTAAATAAGATAAAAAAATGGCAATAATAAAGTAGAATAAATAATAAGTTGCACACTTTCAAAGTGAAGGATTGCTTTCTTTTAACCTTCTTTTAGTGACTCCAAAAAACCGAAATGCAATTGTAACAAGCGCCTTCATTTTGAGAATAAGACGTTATTGTTTCCCTTGCTGTTAGGAATGCTCATAAATAAACTAATTTGATTGGCTTAAGCATTTAGTACAATGATTGCTTGATGATTGATGACCATTTATGCGTAAGCAACTGCATTCTCCTCATTTCAAATGGATGGTTTTTCGAACATAATTTTTAGCACGTATAAATCCGAATTTGCCAGGAAAATTATAAAATTTATTATTTAGCAAAATACTTCATCTTTAATCTTTTATACCGTCAATCACATTCACAGGGAATCGTGTTTTCACTTGTCCCTACACAACTACACACTCACAATTTATAGGATTTGTATCCACAACCTTCGAATTGTTAGTCGACAGGCTTTGTCTACTCGTCCACTTAGGCCGATTGCATGTTGTAAGACTCTACTTGTACTAAAACCTTTTTTTCACTTCACGCAAGGGATACCTATTATATGTGGGCACCGTGGTGGTTAGAGAGAGTTTTAGAACAGAGTAGTCCTTTTAGAAGTCTTGATTGCTCTCTTGGATACTTGTGAATATACAAAAACCCAGCACAGCTGACACTATACCGAAACTCCAGAATGTTGAGGGTTTGGGGTTTTGAAACTTTCGCTTCGCGAGGTCAAGCTCCTCCATACAAAATTTACAGGCTTCCGCCTATGCAGATGAATAGTGCTGTAGTTTTGGCTGGACATAGGCGGCACGCGTATTGGCCGAAGTGAAGTATTTTCTTGAACCTTCTTAAAACAGCTTTCGACACTTCGACTATATATTCTATCCAATGAACTGCACAAATTATTCGACCAGATATTTGCAGGTAGTTTTATTAATCGATATGAAACCAACTCTGGTAAACCGCACTGGAAAGCAGTCAAAGCAGAGATACTTTAAAGCCACAATCGATAAAGCCATTCTATGCAGAAAGCAAAAGGAAGGTGATATTAAAGACTACAGTTATGCGGACTAGGGAGGAGACGTTGACGACCGCCAACCTACAACTTTTTGGCGGAAAAAGTGTACTACTTTGACAATATCCTACATATTTTTCTGTCTAAGTGCATGTCGATTTAATGATTTTTTAATATTCAATTATGCGTAAGTTACATTGGTTGCCATTTTTAAAAAATTGTAAAAGAGGTTTTTTTTTAAGACGTAAATGTCTGCTTAGTAGTCTCCTCGAATATCGTGTTTCGCTCAACCCTTTCTCCCTTAAGGAAGTAACTAACGAACAAAAATTTGTTGTTTAAATCAATAAAAAATCAAAATTATTATTAGTAGGAAAATGTATGAAATAATTAATAAACCTCTGCTCTTGAAGATGCAGATTGATAGCTTCACTTAAAATATAACAAAATAAACCAATAACTAAACTTGGTTTGCAAATGGAGTAAAATTTTCGTTCTTTAAAACTGCAAATTGCCTATCGTCTATCAATTTGTATTAACATTTTTAGCATCCAAGTTATGGTTTACTACTTCGCTTAGTTTATCTGAAATTATGAATATAATTTCTTTAAAATTTCTTAAATCTTCCTTGAGTTGAAGAAATTAAATATTTATGTTATGTTTTGCTTATTAATTTAGATATGTATATCTTATTTCTTTGTTTGATTTGCAATATACATTTCTGCAAGTTTAGTTCTGTTAGTTCTTATAAACTCCCAGAATTACGATCTAATTACCTATCATATTTGCATATTTCTTAATAATAATTTTGGGCCTATTGCCATTGCTAACTATTTCAATAGTTTGTTTCCAAGTGACGACCCCATTTTTGTATAGCTCACTTAATGATAAATATATTCACATGTATTTTCATTCATTGGAATTGAATATACTTACTAATGTTTTCCGAGACTTGGCTCAAAGAGTATTTTTTAAATAACGCATGCATGCAGAAATGATCGCCTTATAGGTAACTAAAAGTCTGAAGTTTAAAATCGTATTTTCAAATGCTAATTTCAAGGAATGGAACCACCCTATAATAATAGCAAACGTCTCGTTGGGGTAGTCTACTTTCCTAGAGGGAATACTGATACATATGAGATTGTTGACACTCTATAACAACGTTTTTATAGTAGTTGCTTTATTTCAGTCATCGAAATCTTCTTATCTCTAGTCCCTCAGCTACAGTAATGCCTTACCGTCCCTACCAACGCATTTCAATCTTCAACATCATCGGAATTCACTATCAAATGCTTTTTCACATGTGGAAACACAATTCCTGTTGATTCTAATCTAGCACTAATTCCTGATATCATCAATATGTTGTCATCCCTTAATTTTTTTGGCCTTTTCATTAAAATAGATTACATTGACCGCGTTAGCTTTTTCAACAATTACACCAGAGCGAATATAAATGCCGTTATTAGTCAACTGCGTAGGTTTGATTCCTCCTCTTTGTACTTGTCCAACAGCGTAAATAATCAACTGGGCTGAACTTCCTAAATGATTTTTTTTTTATTTTTCTTACTGTATTTCAAATTCCACTGCCAAATTCTGCCGCAAGTATGACTCGCGGCTTAACTCTGGAGAGATCACTTATTTACGCTCGCTCGACATAGGATATCAACAACATACACAGCATGGAATTAACGATAATTGACAGACATATTGGAGGCTTTGCAACCGGACGAATTATATTCTAAGAACTTTCCTAAATCCTAAATCCTGTCAATAATACAGATTCACTATCGGATGTAAATGTAATTAATGAGTAAAATGAAATTAATAATTACTTTATACAAGGCGAATTGCAAAGCTTGCATATCAAATTTCCCAATTATCCGACCGGTCGCCTTCTTTGTTCTTTTCTAAAATAAGCGAAGTATATCTCTCAACGGTTTTTAGTTTAGTTCAGTTTACCGTTACAGAGCTCATGGAATTTCTGTTAAGTTAACCATATATTTCTATTAATATTTCGTCATCTACTACATTTTGGAAACACAATGCTTACCACTTCACAATTTCCTCAGGGAAATAACCAAGATTAGATCAATACCGAATGGCAGATATTCTGTCACCCTTTACCAAAAGTGTGGAGCATATTATGGAATAGGAAATCGAACTATTTTGTTATGACCTGAGTGATTTTCATGATTGTCAATTTAGATCTCATGCTCGCCATCTTACATCTGATGTTCTAATTTCTACCACTAAATTAATCAGAGGAAATCTCTATTCTTACTTCTCTGGATCTTTCGAAGGTTTTCAATAGGATCCCTCACACATTACGGGTTGAAAAATTTGATACAATTCTAATTTTTTTAGAAGTGCTTCTGCTCAAACACAAGCAATTCGCATCGATTAATAATATTTCTTTAAGTACATGTAAGATGAAGCCACGAATTTCTCAAGCATTGGCTTTAGATCCTATTCTGTTCAATCTGTCTGTGAATGATTTAACTGAAGTAGTAGAAACAGGTTTATTTTGCCTCTGTTGACAGTATTTTCGTTTTCGTCAACTGTGAGCAGTCATCTACGGCTTCTTTTGAACTTAAAATAATTAATATCTCGTTAGAGTTAATAACTGGATGCTCAACAATTCTCTCTTCAAAAGTGTATCAAAAGTCGTTCTTTCCTTAATGGCGTTAAATTTAGAATACATAAATTGAATTCGTGGACTCTTTAAAAACTTTTGCAATATCTAACAACTTAAACTTTAGTCTGCATATTGATAATATAATGTCTAAAAGCTTATTTAACTTTACGAAAACTCTAATCTGAAGGTTTACCTATCAATCAGCATCAAACTTAAACTTGTCCACTCTCTTATCCCATATAAACTATTGTATTGCAATGGCTATTGGATGTCCTCTAAACAATCTTGCTACATTAAAATCCGCTAACCATAAGATCGTACGTTTTGTCTACAACAGGCATGTCAGAGATCATGTGTTCTCTTATGTTCGAACTTCATTAAAATTAACTTTTGATGATTAGCTTTATCTATTTAAAGTTGTTAAGTTTCGATAAATCCGCTTCTTTTATAAGTCATTTCAAGTTAGGATATGCAGTAGGAAGCCATTTCCTTCCCTAAGGTCGTTAATCGTTGAAACGTTTTTCTTTGAATGCTTCGCTCGTTGTCAGAACCATCTCCCACTCTTAGAGCAGTTAATAGTGGCATTATACGCTTTTAGCAAAGATTAATTACCTTGAATAGTCTATAAGTTCATATTGGCAATAGTTTCTTATTCATGATAATTTTTTTACAAGCGCTCTAACAAGTTTAGGAGATTAATTATTGGATTATAATTTAATTGAGAAAATACTCGCGCATTGAAAGAATGCTTGAACCTTGTAACTATGTATGTGTTTGGGTCCTATAAGCTTTGCAGTTGCAACATAAATAACATTAAGTATATAAATAAACTAATTAATAACCAATTAATAATAATCTAGAAGTTGAAATTATTATATATTGTAATAACAATAATATTAATTAATTTAACATCAATACATACAAACTTATTTTAATTTCTGGTACTTCACTTACCGTTGGTACACAATCCATGTTTGGAGATATAAAATCTAACCCACGCGATCCTACGCCATTGAAACATGACTTAATATTCTGCATAAATTTACGTCGAATGGCTTTCAAAGAATAAATGCATATAGCTGAATTGTCAGTAGATACGTTCCCGCGACCTTCCGAAAACACACCAAATAACACGTCATCTTGAGGAGTTATCGAAAGGCTATTAGCCAAATCTGTGCTGGGCTTACCCAGATAAGCGGCTTGCACTAGATTGTATTTGGTACCACCGTGCTCCGTGCTAATGCAGTCCACAGGTATCTCAGTGTACGAGTAATAATTAGAATCCTCTTGGCAAATACGCACCAACTTTGTAATATATTCTTTAGGCGTAGAGTGATGATTGTGCTTCAGTTGTGTAGTAAGAAAATATGAAAAACGCTCTGAGCTAAAACCATATATATAGGTGACCAGATACGATTCACGAGCATATGAATTGATGAATGTACGTGTCCCTGTTGTCACAGCAGAAGACGCTATTTGAAACATTTTAGACTTTTCTAATGAGCGCGATGCAACTGCTGGTATTTCGCTGCGGTAGGGAGAATTGTTCGTATAAGTTACACCAACGTACATGACGTTAGTAACTGGATGTTGTGGTGGACCAGGCGCAATAAAAGCCACAGTTGACGAGTTGGCATCATTGGCCACTACGGCATCCGGTACCTCCTGCTCTACGATGCTGATGTTTTGTAAATTTCTGACTGTGCACGTTCCCTGAAATAACGAACCGCACACTATAAGTCTAGATGTCGCTCGATCGATCAAAAGAACTTTATTATAATTATCTGTAAGCCGGCGCACTGCATGCAGGGGACAATCCAAAATAGTGCATTCAACAGAGTCATTTTTTGGACCGGTCTTCACTGTCTCGTGAACTTCTAGGTCTGGAGAGAGCTGATACAAGCGATTGACTCCACCAACGTACACACGACCTGTCACTGAATCAACCACCAAATGATTTAGCGATGTATCAAAATTAGCCACGTGCGTAATGATATTGCTGTAATTTTTATCAGTTCCGCTGATGTTTACCCTGGATTGGAACTGTATACGAGATGAAGTAGTGTTTGAGCGTTCTTCCCCAATATTGCCACTTCTCATGTTCTCCACTCTCAAGTCAGCTACCTCAAAATTGCCAATTTTGAAAAATAAAGAGCTTTTTAATGTAAGGGATGACGCGGTTACTGACACTTGAAATGGCAACTTTGTTGCGGTTACTGTTCGCGACGGGTTACTGCTATTGTCCAGTGGAAAAGACTTAAAGATAGTACTTGTACTGCTTTGGCTACTTTGTTGCATATTAACGCTTCTCAATGAGGTGACGCACTGCATCATCCATGTCAGGAGAATGCACATTACCAACTTCATTTTTCGTTACATAAATGCTTTGAAAGCGATAAGCCCAAAAAGCATTTAAAGGAAAGAAAGAAAGAACATCAAACATTGATAATAGGTACAAAATTACATTATGTTACATTGTTTACTTAATTTGTGCACATGTGTGCATTACATGGGTACGAATGTTGTGTATATATCCGGAACAATGCGGTCAACAGAATTATCATAGTTTTTGAGCCGCCGTCCGTCCACATTTTGGACTATTTGGAACCTATTGCTTTTGCAACTTACAACTTATATTTTGAGAGTTCGCATTTGTGAGATTGAACCTCACTGGCTCATTGCCGAATAACTAAATTTCTGGCATTTTTCATTCGAGTTAAACACCAGATATATTGCTTGGTGAAAGCTTTAGTTCATTTGATCCTACTAAAAGACCTAAAATCTATAGTACGTTTTTTAATACATGTATGGCTTAATTTTTCCTAAAACTCTTGCTCTATTTATAGGACCAATATTTTTCTTTTAATATAAAATGCGTACCATTAAAACGACGCTGTTTTAACAACTGTTCAACGTCACCAATCAGAATTATGTCTGCTAAATTTTAGCCCTAATTGTTAGTTTTTGTAATCAGGAGATAAGGACATAAAGATTAAGTCAGCTGAAAATTCATTATGATTAATCACTAGCTTATAGCAAGAATGGCGGCTAATAACTGGCCTTTAAGGTTTGCCCAGTCGTGATTGTTGTTTAACATGTATTTCCTTTATCCGACATTACGGTCATGTATTATATAAAGAAAAAAAGAAACACCATCATTTTCGTTGCCGTTGGCAAGCATTTTTAGTGTAAACTATATACAATTTTACTTATATTTGGTTCGCATTTTTGTGAATATGAACACAATGTGACCGTTCACCTGGCTTATAAACAGAAATAAACTTTAAGGAGTCACTAAGTTTATAAATATATAAATAAAACGATTATAGGCATTTTGTAAGGAATCTGCGAAGTGCACTTCTTAAGATGATAGTCTTAGATAGCTTCAAATGTGCAGATTGATGGAATAAATTTTAATCGAGTTATATTAAACGATTAGCACATTAAAGACCATTTATAAAGTACATGTAATTAAAATGGAAGGAAAAAACAATTTTATGTAATGGAAATGACCTTTTCCTTTTTGTCCGTCTTCGTTTTCAAGTAAAGTATCCGTACTAGAACTACCCTGTTTTAAAACATATATACAAAACATATAATTGATTCAGAGAGCGTATTATTAATATCTGTCCAAAACATTTTAAAGCATATTTGTTGCATGATTACAAATTTCACTAAACTTTGATTCTAAATTGCTATGTATTGAGACGAACATTGGAAAGGATGTGCACATTTGCGTGTGAATATTAAACTATCTCCATAATAGCACAAAAGTCGTTTAGTTGATTGACAAATTTTGCGCCACTTTAGGATTCATATTCGCTTTATTAAGACTCCTCTCAGTTTAAATTTTATTTAAATTACCTTACATGTGTTGTTTTAAGGTGATATTGTACGCAATGTTTTTATGTTTTCCATGAAAGGGGGTGGAGTAGATGGCGTCGATTAAATGGATAACTAGCTACTTATAATATTAACACTGTGTTGATTCTAAGCGGTGTACTTTCCGTAAATTGGCATATTTGCAACATTTATTTTAAATCTGTTAATTTATTTTTAATTCACTTTAGACTTCTTCTTTAATTTCAATTTTAATTTTCTTACTACATTTTTACTTTTATTTTTATATCAATCTAATATATACATTTTCACTTGATATTTGTTGCATTTCTCGGGAGACACTATATGTCGTGTGGTAGGCAACAGCTCTCTATAAACACACATACGGTAACCATACATACACTTATTAAAATCATCTCACGTACACATTGCTGTAAATAGTTTCTCACATAATTAACTTATACGCACTTTACACATTCCTAATTATTTGCCGTTTTTTGATATACACATAGACAAGCTGGTAAGCTAAACGAGAAATGCGAATTTAGTTATTTCAGTAGAGTTTGATGCAACTTTTTGAGAACTGTTTTCAATCAAATAGAAAAATTTTTCCGAATCTCCGCCCTTATTACAAGCGTACACATTCAATTAAAAAGCGCAAATTTCTCCTGTATTAATGGATGGCATGTCGATCGTTTTTCGTGGCAATACTGGTAGAAACCAAGTTTCTCCGCATCTTTTTTTGTTTTCAGTACATGGAAATTGATTGTAACTTCTGAATTTTACACCCACAAATCCCTACTTAGTTCTTTTTGCATTTGTCATCTCTTTTTGATTTGTGTCAAATATGTGGTTACGATTATCAAGCAGTTGTTGCAATCCTTTTTCTCACAGCTTCAAGAATTTACTGTATATCTTTATGAATGACGGCAGCACAAATATTGATGTTTGGAATGTTTCTTAACAATGATTTTATATTCTGTGAATTTTTAAAAAAATATTTTTCTGTCATTGAATAGGAGACACTCAAAGTATCTTTTTAATCTACCCAAAACAACTAATACATACAAGCCTGTACTGTAGTACCGCTTTATGCGATAAATGTGGGTATTATTATCGAATACAAAAAGAGAAAACAACGCTACACACTCCAATCTGATGACCGATAACACAAATAAAGAGCTAGTAAATAGCAGCTTTCTTAAAATGCCAGCAATCATGAAGTAAAATCGTTCACTTCCAAAATCATTGCATGTGATGTATTATTTAACGATACATTTTAAAGGTTCATATTTTAGACAAATTGTTAGTCTTATATTACATATCTATAAAAACGCAGTTTATTACTGGTACATAACGAGATATAGTGAGTTTGGGTTTACGGCTAGATAAATGGAATCTGCTAAATGCATTAGGGCGAGAGACAATATTCTCCGGTCGAGTACCTTTACACGAGCGACATATAATTTGTTTACTACTGTCATCTGATTAAAATTAATAAATCGTTTTACCAAAACAGTAAGTTGCGAATGCAAATGGCAACTGATTTCTTACCTTTTATATGTTTGAAAGACCAGAAGATAAATCAGTGAAGTCTTTCATCGTATTTTTGCGGTTTTCATAAAAATTTTAGTAAGGGTAAATGCTTAACAAAACTTTGTTTTCTTTGTAGATGCCTTAAACATTTTAGAATATATGGGAAAAAGTTTATCGTAAGAAACAAATTGCCTCCTTGAAATTCCGGGGAGACCACTTGTGTCAATTGAATGCCTGTTGGTAAATCTCTTGGCTGTTTTTATTTCTAATTTCTTTAGTACACTAGCAGATATCTTTGGAAAGGATTTACGGCCCTTTAAAATCATTTCCAAACAAAGATATATTAGTGCGGTTTCATCGAAGGTATCGTTGAATGAATATGAGGGTGGGCGCGGTTGGAAAGGAGTCAGTGCTTCTGTTAAAAATTGAAAAATTTGTGATGAAGATATCTATCTTCATTATGATTTCTATTATAGAGATAAACAATTCAGTCCTTTCGCAATATTTTTAAAATGACAGAGAAACACTTAGGGATTTTCGATAAGATGATTTTTTTTTTTTTTTTGCAATAACATATTAATTTGGGTTTTAAGCATAATAACCGGCATAGGTGTAGATTTAGGCTGATTAAAAAAAATTGCCTTTTTCAGGATCAGTAATTTCACTTTTCCATTTAAATTCTTGCTGATTACGCAAAAATCAATAAATTTAGTATATTTAGGTGTTTCTCTAGGAATAGACATATAAATTAAATGAATTTTATCCCTCGTTTTGGGCTCAGGGGTTCTTCGTGTCGTTAAGTAAATAGACATCAGAAGTTGAGAATAATTAGCTTACGCCGAAGTTTAGTCAAGTTTGTCAATAATAGAGTAAGTTAGGCTAAGCGAATTAGTATTAAGTAAAGAGAAATCAGAAGAACTTGAGAATAACTGGCTTAAGCCGAAGTTTAGTCGGGATTGTCAGTACTAGAGTAAGTTAGAGAAAGTTAGTTGGTCGCGGGGTGAATGAAAGAGTGAACGTTTTGGTCTGGTTGGTGAGGTTACAATGATGGTGGTGCTAGGTCTTTAGGTTAAGGAAAACTTTAGTGAACTTATCTTTGAAGTAGAAAAAAAGGAAAATTGTAAATGTCAACTATCAAAGAAATACCTAGAATATATTTTTCAAGAGAAACAATATTTTAAAGTAATATAAAGAAAATCTGATATAAATTAAAATTGAGAAAATAAAGCGATTGCATCTGTGTAAATACGTTTTATAAAACGCAAAAGAAAACCGTAAGAATTTTACTTTGCTGCAGCGGTGATCAACAGTAGAACAGGAACGTAGGAAAAACCAAGATAAGCAAAGAAATTTCTTGTGAAACAAAACCTAGAGCCGCTGAGCTAACCCAGCACTAGGTTTTGGGCAAAATTGCCCACACAGTATTTATTTATATACCATTGTTTTATGTATTTTTTGTGTGCGTTAATATATACATAATTTTTTTTATATGGCTTATCACTCATGGGATTTCGCAAACTACGATCATCAGACAGTAGTGAAGAAAGGGAAAAAGGTAAAGAGACGAGGCAGGAATTAAACGATACTCATTAAAATTTCGTCCACTTAGGATATCTGACAAAGACTTCAATGAGTTGTTGTGACTGTATTTGTGAAAGTGAAAACAATTCAGTATGACACAATTTAAAGACGAGTTGGACGCTGCATGTATCATCGATGTTGTATACTATACCATCTTTTAAATACAACTTTTTGAATTGTTTACGTATATCTTACTTATAATATATTTGTTTTTCTCGGTTAATTCATGAAAACAGCAATATCGTTTAACTTCTTTCTGCCCAGAAGCTTTCGGGAGGTGAGGGTAAACTTTTAGGGCTGCCAAAACTTGCAATCGTAGACGAAAATACAATCCACATGTACTAGTTGGTGCTGGGACTGCTGTTGATGACTGGTATATGGAACGCAGTTATTGGATATGTGCTAATACTGATCGATACCAAAAAGTATCACATTCAAGATGGCACCCTTCTGATTTGCGTGGGATTAGTGACTTTTCACTCAGTGAATTCTATACCCTGGGTCCACAAGTCTGTTAGAACAGTAATTTGAAGTAATTTGTACTCAGCTTTGCGTTTGCATAATAGAGACGTTAGGACCGTTATCGATTGTCGTGAAATGATAAGCGATCGCAAGCAACGTATAAATAAGTCGTTTGACAAATAGTATGACAGTAGTTTGAAGCTGACTGATAGATTAGATCAGCTGCTACCAGAAGCAACGCTAGCAGAACTTTTAAGAAGGAGTTTACTTTTTGAAATTCAACACGAACGTCTTTATGTCAAAGTTTATTCAGTGGTCCAATTACGCGATTTTTTTAGACAACGCGAGTATTTGCTACAAGATTTTAGAAGCAGGATTAGTGTAGACTTCGCGAAGCCATTTTTTATCCATCGCGACGCCTACAACCGATAGTATTCTGTCATTAGAGGAAACATAATTGAAATTAGATAATGGTTTATTTATTGATCTTGAATGTTCATTTACCCCGAGATAAGCAACACTAAGATCTAATTAGGAACATTAAAATCGTGGGTAGCTTTTTTTATTGTCGTACTGATTATCTTTCAGGGGGGAATTTTTACAGTGAATTGGTAGAAAAAAAAAACGAAGAGCATGACAGTTAGACGCTGATGAGAAGGTCAGCAGAAGGGGGTTTACTACAGGATGGCATAACATAAGAATTGCCGCCCACGAAACAATTAGTTAGACGCGGTAATCCTTAATGCAGCATACGATTCTCCTTGAGTGAAGAAGACAGAAGTTAAGAACCCCTTAATCCGAAGGGCAGGGGTTGGAACCAGGCATACTGCTCCAGCCAATTCGGACTGTCTTAGTTTCACCAGGGCCCTAACATGTGTGCGTTTATTCTAGTCCGCGATTTCATGAGGATTGAATCGCAAACTAGGTAATAAGTTATTGTAGCCTAGCTGCAATACATTTCTGCGGATTAACGTAAGTATACCTTGTTTTTTATGCCGCTTATCATCTTCAACTTTTCTTCTATACGTATTTCTAGCGATCGTGTTCATTGCAAACTCTATTTTCAAAAGAATTATATCCAAACTGTACTTTGACCTCTACAACGCTCATCTGGCTATTCTGGGACTAATGTCCTTCTTATTCAATATCAAAATAAACGGATTGCACTGTGCTATTACTTTAAACTTTAATCCTTGCAGGCATATTATGAAGTTTCTTGAGGTAGAAACAATAGCCGAAGTCTCTTGTTCAATACTACGATATTTAGCGTCTCTCGTGCGTTTTGAAAGTTAAAATATAGGGCGACATATCAGATCATTCTTTTTCTGGGGTAAGAACGCATTGCTATTCGCAACTCTGCTTGATTTTGGACGTCATATGCAGAGGTAGATGCCTTTATTAACTTACCTTTCAATTTCTTTGCAATTTCTTTCTCGTTTAGCAAAGTCTAAATGCGGATCCTTTTTTATCAATATATGAGAAGAATGAGGTATTAATGCAAAATACTTAATAAGCCTGCCAAATTAGGAACGCAAACCAAGAAAAACCTAAATTTCTCGAAAATTTCGTGATAGTCGGAAATTTCTACCTAATTTAATATTACTCTCATCCGGATAAATACCGTTATAAGTAATATTACATCCTAGACATCTCATATCTGACTTCATAAATCTGCAGTTACCTAAGCGAAATTCCAATTTATTCTGCATAACTTTAAAGGAAAAAAATAAAAATTGCCATATTTTTATGATCTTTGCAAAAACAAAGTTATTCTTCTATTATCTTGCATGAGCCAAAAGGCGATTAATATTTTCTGCAATAAAGCAAGTCCAAAGAAACCAACAACATTTGCATGCAAAGACATCGCCAAACTCTCAATACCACTAATACATTTTCTTTCTATAATTCTGTTCCTTAGCGAACAATTTCTTATAGGTAAAGAAAAACGAAAGAAGAATTATAAAAAGAAATAAGAACAAATCTGCCTGTGAAATGTGAAGAGGGATATTGGAGGAAATGGGTGCATTGATCATATACTAAAGTCTCAATTACACAGACGTAGCACATTTAAATTTAACGAAACCAACAAATTCATAAGACCAAAAACTGTAAAAAGTGTTGGCTGGTAATACAAATAATATAAGTAAGCCGCGAAGCCCTCCTCTTGTCAGCTATATTGAGACTACAAGGGCATCTCCTCCTAATGGTGCCATTCAGTCTATTCGGTGTATATACCAAAAAATATTAACAAACACAATAAATTCTCCTCTCCCCTACCTGCTCGGTTGTATGCGCTGGGCACCATGCTGGACAATTTACGCAAA